CTTTTGTCTTTGCTCGTCCTGAGCAAGTGGTGCCCAGAAGAGAGCTATTTGCTTAAATTCCCACCATTGTTCCCTTCTTAAACATAGAGAGTGGTCTGATCCACAGCCCATTCATGCTATATTTATTTGAAACGAAAGGATCTTGGATACAATAAAACATTGTTGATCCTCGCCATCCTCCATGTAATCAAAATAAAGCTCAGCAGAGAAGGTCTTGTAAAATCCAAGCTTAGAAACTGCAGTGTGAGTAGCTACTACAGCAAAGAGAAAAGCATGGAAAGTACAAAAAGACTGGCAGCATACTTCACAGGATACATTTGTTTCCAGTCTCTGTTTGTAAAACTAGGCCAAATGAGGCTACTGAGTAAACAAAGGAAGTTTATTAGTTTCATGCAGAAGTGATATGTTCTCTCTGGGCACAATGGGACACAATGGGAGATGGTTGGGCTTTAATTACAAGAAAGGAATGGTATAATGTTTTGCTTCAATCCATCATGGTTTCCTAGCCTTGAGGGATGTAGGGTTTATTCTTTCTTCTGCATGGGAGGAACTGTATACATACTTTTGCATTCGTTTGAATGGGAGTCACTCCGCATGCATGAGCCTATTGTACATTGATTAGAGGCCATGATGCTCTATTGTGGAGACCATCTTAAACAAAAAATAAACATTATGTATGTCCCCTGTGCATTCTTTTTGCCAAGGCTCATATTACTAGTTTACTAACCATATACAAAGAAAAGTGGTCTTGTCATGTTGCATTCTCTTTGTGGAGGTTCCTGTTTTGGGTACTTGTTTTGGGTTTTGGGTACTAAGGTGGTCTGATAGTGGGATGATTTCATGCCATGTGTATTTGCTAAAGCATTTAAAAATGGGTGGGTAGACAATTTTCTTTGATGTTTATGAGAAGATAAACTAAAGACAAAGTTGTCATATGAGAAGAAGAAAAAAACAGAATTTGGCCAGGGTGGCATATAACTAATCAGAAACTGTTCAATAGTTATGGTTAACATTGAACCAACTAGTAGAACTAGCAATTGGATAAAACCATAAATTATCAGTTCTTTTCCATCATTGTTATCATGTTGATTAAGCAAATAGAACTAATGGCTAGTCAGTAGTCTCTCCCTTCCCTCAACCCACATGCATCTCTTTCATTATCCAACACTTTCCAGTACACATATATGTGTGTAAATAAGGGGGAAGGATACAAATGCATTCTCATAGATAGCTCTCCTTTTGATGTTTGTTGTATGAGGTAGGACAATGAAAGCAAAAAAATGGCTTTCACAAGTGCAGTAGCAATGATGAAAAGTCCAAAAGTGTTACATATCTTGGAGAAAATCCACCTTTTCAGAGTTGGTCTGAGAAATGGAGCTGCCATGTGATCACTTCAAATTCTTCTTTCCTTTTTTAATTGCATGTTCACATGTTTTCTGCATCAGCATTATTAACTATTTAACCACAATTCCCAACCCATAGTGGAAAACTCCAATAATTGATTCAAGTATGCAATTCAGGTTATGAATTAAGTTCTGCAGCTACATGCAAACTCTTGCCTCAAGCTACATGCTTACTTGTAAACAAAGCAACTGGTGAAGTATCCTTGTTTATTCGTTCAGTCGCTTCTGACTCTTTGTGTCCTCCTGGACCAGCCCACGCCACAGCTCCCTGTCAGCTGTCACCACCCCCAGCTCCTTCAGAGTCAAGCCGGTCACTTCAATCCATCTTGCCCTTGGAAATATCCTTATCTTAAAGGAAATGGAACAAATACAGATTCATCATTTATTTATTTATTTATTTATTTATTTATTTCCTGTATTTTTACCCCACCCTTCCTACCCCCAAAGGGGACTCAGGGTGGCCTAACAAAAGCACCATAAGATGCTGACATCATAAAAACAGTCGACCATACATTTAAAATGTTAAAAACAGTAAGTAAACAGTTGATTAAACATGAATGTTAAAATCAGAGTAATTCTGGGGTCCCTAGCATGTGTCAAAACATTTTAAGATATGCATGAGTTCCATAAACCAAATATTTATTATTCCACCTTAAGAAAGACTTGCAATGAATTCTGTTTTCCTAGATCCAAGCGGAAGACTGCTATCCGATAATTTTAGCTCAGCATTCAACTGATATTTTTTAAATTTTTGATGCTTGATTGATGATCCTAGATTTTTTTGTCCATGTTAATATTCTGGACAAATTAACAGGAGCTGTACTCTTCAGATTTGTGAGTTGCATCCATATGAAATTATAATAGGTAACTAAACTAGTTAATTTGATAGTAACCTAAGGTACAAGTGGTTTATAGATGGATATTCCTTAAGAGCAGTTGGAAGTGAAATGGTCAGCATCAAACTAAAACATCTTGGTGAGAAAGCTGGTGACTAACTTGGAAGGAAATGATTATGAGAATACTAAAGGGGTGTTGTATAAAACACTATAGAGGAATACTGTGCCTTGGTGGTGGAACGCATCACTTGAATGCAGAAATTCAGTCTCTGGCACATCTGGGGAGGTTGGAGAGAGTTACCTGGCTGAAATCAGAAGATGCAGTGCTTCTCACTGTAGGCCAGAGGTAAACAACTTGGTGTTCTTTTGGGTTCCAGTTTCTATCAACATGACCAATGATCAAGGATTATGGGAGTTGTACTCCAACAACACCTGGAGAGCATAAGGACAGCTGTCTCTGGTGCAGACAATATTGAACTCAATTAACTGGTTGTTTGACTAATGTGAGGTGAATTCTCTTATTCCACAGGCTTAATGCAAAACTTGGGAAGAGCTGTCAGACACATCAAGGAAACATTTTTGGAAGTCAATAGCCAACCTGACATTTAATAGTTATCCATTTCAAATTTGGCTGTTTCTTGCAGTCATGTGAAATAGTAACAAAGAACATGGGAAGGGGTTGCCATAAGTTTATCTTGGAGTGAGGAAGCAAATTCTCATTTTGTTTTTTAAAGGGAAAACAGACTCTACAGTTTCATGTGTCGATGCTTTGACTGAAATTTAGTATGCAAGCCCTGTTTGGAAAAGGAAGGGCATGACTACTAAAAATGAATTCTAGGTCCTCTATGACAAAAAGTATCTACTCTGTGATATGATCCTGCTTGTTGGATTTAACCTCTAAATTATACACCTTCAAAGGCTAGGAGCATATAACATATACAGTAATATGACTGCATCCATTAGGTATCTGTAATGTAGACTAGAAACAAACATCTCTTGCAACATGTTTTAGGACTTTGTAACCTTTTTTCAATTTCCTTCAAGTTACTGTTTAAAGCAAATTATGGATTAACACTCTCCGCTGAAGCTTAAGAAACTGTTAATTTTCAACATGAATGCATATTGTTACTGAGTATTCTTTCTAAACTGGAAGGATGTAAAGTTTAAAACAGAATATCCAGACATTAATTTCTATTTAAGTTCCTAAACCTTCTTCACATAATACTTTTTCCCAACATATGCATTAATATAAGACAATGTATACCTTGTAAGTTATATATGATCAACATTTGGAGGACTGCGATTCTTTTTCCCTCCCTACAACTTGGGTATTAATATTAATAAATAACTGAGTAAACACAAGCTCTTCTCAGGTTCCACCACTGCCTACTGTCTGTTTTCTTTATTTTCCTGACTGGCCCAGGAGCACTTTAGAATCCAGACATAGTAAGATTGAAGATAAGTCAGCATGGGGAAAGGAAACAGTCTTTGGAGACATGCCATTCGATTCATGAAATGCTCAAAATGGGATTCATTTAGATCACTGGTTCTCAACCTTTGTTTGACCAGGGACCACTTAAATCAAGGACCACTTGACCAGGAACCACTCCCCAACATTAGTACCAAAAGGGTTACAAATCGGTTTTTGGTCAGCTTTAGATTCGTTTGGGGTTCTGATTCAGAAAATTGCATTGGATAGACTACATCAACTCTATAGTTTCTGATACAGACCATATGCCATGGTCAACAACAGGGAAGGAGTGGCAGGCAACATGAAAGGAGCAGTAATAAAATAAATAATGAGGAAGGAGGCTCATGGACCAGATTTTCATCCTCGCAGCTCACTTGTAGTCTGTGGCCCACAGGTTAAGAACTATTGATTTAGTCATATAGCCAGGTTTTCATGGTGAAAATGATCCATATACATAACATTCAGATGTAATAGAAACAAACTTGCTACAAGTTTTATGCAAGTCTTATTTGAACTGCGTATGTGCATGTTTACATATATAAGTCCTACTACTGAGCATTGGTATGTGCACATCAGCTTCCCAGACTAAGCATGAAGGCCTGTGTAAATACAAAATTATTTGCACGTTGTTACAGGTACACAAATCTGCATCTCATAAATATGCAGCACATGAATAGTACAGAAAACACAGCAATATGTGAAAGCCAAAAGAGAGAAAGCATATGTGCCCTAAATAACGTGCTTTGATTATCTTACTGTACAGACTTGGTATGTGAAACATGCTGGAAGTTCAGGTTCCTGTGGCATAACTTCCCAAGTAGATCTTGTTATATTAAAACAAAACAAATAAACAAAAACAAGTCAAAGAAAGTGAACATATCTTTAGTTTTTCTGGCATTCAGAGAAGACTGGGGGGTTGTGGAAAAACATCGTTCATTAACTCTTTCCAATTCTGGCCTGTTCCAGAAGGCAGGACTAGGGAATTTCATTCCCTAAATCCTCTTACTCCCTGAAACTTTATAGCATCTTTTATACATTACCTTGTTTGGTAATCTTTGCCAACTGTTCAGTCCAGACCTGACCAAAAAAATGTAGAGTTCTTGTAATGTGTATGCTCATTAACTAGTCTTTACAGTGGAGTCTGAAAGAAAATGTTTCTAAAGCTCTTGAGTAATTTGGCGACCAGAAGTCATTCTTCTTATAATGTATTCTCCTGTGTGGCACTTTGATTAAGGTCTTACTTCTATCTTAATCTGGCTCTAATTTTTTTTATATTTTCATTCATCACAGGTGGTTCTGTGAAGGAAAACAACTACTGAATTCCCCTGATATACAGATATGTTGTGAAAGTGGAGGACTTCATACACTAGTAATAACAGAAGCCTTTGAGGACGATACAGGTCGCTACTGCTGCCTGGCCTCAAATTCTGTTGGCTCTGATTCTACATCCGCAGAACTATTTGTTGAAGGTAAGAAAGCATGGCTACACTCTTTATATACCGTGTATCATGTGTCTTGGTTTTAAGACTGTAGTTCTCAACCTGTGCATCCCCAGATGTTTTGGCCTTCAACTCCCAGAAACCCTAACAGCTGGTAAACTGGCCAGGATTTCTGGGAGTTGTAGGCCAAAACACCTGGGGACCCACAGGTTGAGAACCACTGTTCTAAGAGGGCCAAACCTGTGCAACTGATAAACAACTGGGTTGTTGTTGGTTTTTTGGGCTGTGTGGCCATATTCTAGAAGCATTCTCTCCTGACGTTTCGCCTGCATCTGTGGCAAGCATCCTCAAAACCTCACATTGTCTGAGGATGCTTGACACAGATGCAGGTGAAACGTCAGGAGAGAATGCTTCTAGAACATGGCCATACAGCCCAAATAACCTACAACAACCCAGTGATTCTGGTCATGAAAGCCTTCAACAATACATTGATAAACAACTGCAATAACATGTTTGTATTTGTACAATTCCCTTCTGTATTCATAGGTCTTCTAAAGCACTGTCTTTTAAACTGTGGGTCCCAACCTCAAATGGGGTGCTRGTAGCTCAATGTTGGGTCACAAAGAAATGGCAACAGTAAAAGGTTTCTGAATACCATCAAGACATTTATTCAAATCTGTTAGCAACTATGTGTAGTGTTTGCAGTAGACCTAGCTGCACTTCATAAAAAGGAAAATCAGCATGTTTAGGAAGCCTTGCAAATCCTAATTTATTATCTGTAACTGTTTGATTTTTATACCTATTTTATATACCTGTTTACCTGGGGTTGCAAACAAATTTCTCAGGTGGAAAAGGGTTATGAATGAGAAAAGTTTAAGCACTATTCTAAACCAGTGGATCCCAAGTGATCTGAAACAGTATTTTTCCCAGTGTCCCAGGGATCTGTATGATATGTGTGTTGAGTACAGCTGTTCATTACAGCTGTTTCTTGTTTTCCTAGAAATTTAATGAGGACTAGCAAGTAATAGCTTGGAGCTTAGCACTCATCTGTGGCCCACCAGTTTCACACTGATCTAGACTTAATATGCTCATTGTGTTTTATATACAATTATTATTATTTTTTATAAAAGGGCACATTTATATTTTGTAAGCATCTACAACAGGAGTGACAAAAGGGTAGCCCATAGGCCACAAGCAGCAGTTCAAGGTCTTTGGGGTGGTAGGAACTTTTTAATTATTTTTAAAATAGAAAAACCTAGTTCCTATTTCCTGTAACAGGGTACAGCAGGAATAGCTATGGTTACCAATATTTCTCAAGAAATATTAAATGTTGAAAATATGTTATAAAATAAGCCATAAATATGAATTGTGACTCTGTAAACGTAGGAAGTTGAGAGTTTTAAGTTTCATAACAGCTTGTTTCACCCCTAAATCTGCTATTTTCTACCCTATCCAGGTGCCAGCTCTTCAGATTCTGACAGTGAAATTTTCAGATCAAAATCTGGAGCCATGCCACAGTACGTTTATATGGAAGGTCTCTCTACAGTGATAATGATAAAGCTGTTCAGCTTCACCTATTTCTTTTTCGGCGACTTTTGGGGGAGGGAGAGTTTAACCATTGTTAATTAACAATCCGTCTGTGTTGGAATGTTGTACTGATATTTAAATATAGGATGACACAGGTACAAAATCTGGTTCAGAGACTCCATTTAGAGAACACCTATGCTGGACCTTCAAAATCAGTTTGGAAGAAATAGTCAAGCAGGCTTTTGTAATTTTGTTTTTTACCTTTATGTTTTTGTGGAAAGAAATAATTATCAGTTTGTCATTAAACCTGTCACCCATCTGTACCTGAAGCTGTGTAATAATAATAGTAATAGTAATAATATAATAATACCCTTTATTTGTATTCCGCTCTATCTCCCCGAGGGGACTCAGAGCAGATTACAACATACACAGATAGGCAAACATTCAGTGCCTTAATACAGTGGAATAACAATGACATACAAATACACAGAACAAAGGAAAAGGCTTCCCCTTTCACCTCTGGCTTTCTGGAGGTGGTGCTCAACTCTGGGCATAAAGAGGTGCTCTTGTTCCATTTCCAAGCTGAGGAGCCTATTGTCCACAGAAACCTCCTGGTTGTGTTGCTGGCATGGCTGCTTAGGTGCCTTTATTACCAAAGTGGTATCTATTGATCTACTCACATTTGCATGTTTTTGAACTGCTAGGTTGGCAGGAGCTAGGGTTAACAGTGGAGCTCACCCCGACCCACAGCTTCGAACTGCCAACCTTTAGGTCAGCACATTCAACAGTTCAGTGGTTTAAGCCGTTGCACCACCATGGCCCTGGGGTAACTAAAGATTTAAAAGTTTCTTATGAAAATGGGGGAAATACGCTCATTTTGTTTATCTTGTGTGATAAAATGTGCATGTCAAAGTATTATATCCAACCTTTGTGATGAATTATGAGTATTATCTGTAGATGAATAATATTTGCAATTTGCCTGTGTCATAGAAACAAAGTTCAGGATCCAATTGGGAAGGCATTTCTAGAAGAGCTGACTCTCTCCATAAACATGTTCACACACACATACATGGCACTTCCAATATTTGCTCTCAAAATTAGGGAAATTCTCCAGGGCAAAGTTTTAAAGAGTGCAAAAAGATGGACGGTGTGGAGAGAAAGATAATATCTTATTGCAAGTGTTGCAGACAAAGGAAAATCCTCTCCATGGAATTATTAATGTGGTTTCTTCCAAGCATAACTAGCAAATTGTATCCCGTCCAATAGAATTGCCCAAATAAAACACTTGTCATTTTGCCAAGGAATGTTAAGGTTAACTATTTATTGTATAATTATGCTGTATTGCACATGTTGACTGCAGTAGTTCCATTTCCTCTGCTGTCTGGTTATATCAGGACATAGGAAATTTCAATAATTTGTGACCTTGACTATGGGAATTGTGATTTCTGTGGCAAAGACTGATTGAATTGATTGTGAAAACAGACCAGGGTTCTCCGACTTGGTGCTCTCCGGATGTGCTGGATTACAGTGTCTGCCACTGCATTGTTGCCTTGGCTAATTTTCCTCTTTTTTGTCTTTTTAATCAATTGTTTTATCCAGGGCTCAAAAGAAAAGCACTTCTGTTTCTTTAACGATAGGACCTTCTGCTCCGAAGGCTGGAATCACTACAGCCGTAATCCAACCTATTGCAGTGCCTCGTCAGCAGGTAAACATGCTTTAGGCACACAAGTTTACTCATGTCCTCAGAGTCTCAACTCAAACAATGTGCCGACAAAATGATCTTTACTCTTTCAACTTCCATTTATAGAATCACTTAATTAAGTGTCATTGATCACAATTTGGGGGGAGGGGGAGGACTAGGGGCTTGGTGTCCTGTACTGTGGCCTTTACCTTACTTTGTTGATTGCAACTTCACAAGAAGATGAGCCATTTGCACTAAAGCTATAGCACAGTCTTTTATGTGCTCAGGTGTATATTTGTTGATATGGGCCACTATGCTCAATGAGACTTACTTCCAAGTAAAGAAGGAAGCTAACAGCTAATGTATTCCCAGAGACTCATGAAGGAATTTCAAGTTATGAGTTTTCTGGTGCAAACCTTCCAGGACCTATTTGATTCACATAAATGTCTATCATTGAATGTCCCCAGTGTTAGTTAAAATTTCTTTTAGCCCTCAAGACGAGGTGTCAAAAATGCCTTTGCTCACCCTTGTCCTAATGGCATTAAGTACTATGGATCATCAAAACTTCTCACAACTATTTGTTTTTTATTTGTTTCTCTGCCATTTGTATTAAAATATTAAATGCAAACTTTACATTAAAATATTAAATTTTAATCTTTGCATTTCTTCACATTGATATTCAAAATTCAGAGTCACTAAGGTTTTCATCACAAAGCTCTTTTCCTGGTACACTTACAAGAATGTTGGGCATTATAAGTTGTCAGCATTGGGAGCCACAGTGGCACAATGGGTTAAACCCTTGTGCCGGCTGAACTGCTGACCTGAAGGCCTGCAGTTCGGGGGTTCGAATCGCAAGACGCGATGAGCTCCTGCCTGTCGGCCCCAGCTTCTCATGCCTCTCACAGGATGGTAACACATCCGGGTGTCCCCTGGGCAACGTCTCAGTAGACAGCCGATTCTTTCACATCAGAAGCGACTTGCAGTATATTCTCAATTTGCTTCTTACATGATTTTAAAAAATAGGGAAATAAACTGGAAACAATTTTTGTCCATCATATACCAGACAAAGTGGTGGAATGTGTGTGACCTGACTTCCAGATAGTGTTTGGCTGTAATTCTTACCAGTGATGTCAGTAGGTTTTGTTTGGCAAGATATAGGGCAGGTGCACATTCACAGTATTTGCTGCATTGGGTGAAATGTATAACTGAGGTTTCGAGTATTGTTATAGAAACTCTATATTACTAATGGTTTTGCAAATGTCTGTTTCTTAACTCTTTTTTCAGGTCCAAAGTCCTACTTCATACTTCTGCAGATTAGATGGCTCAAAACCTGGTCATGCTGGACCTATTTTTACAAAGGTCTGATTTCTCCACTGGAATTTCAATACATCACTTGTTTCACCCCAAGAATTTTTTAAAAATACATTGATAGTTTAAACTGCATTAACACTTTCTTGCTGTGTACCTTCAAGTCGTTTCTCCCCTAAGGCAAACATATCATGGGGGGGGTTTTTGGGACTGAGAGTGTATGATTCACTCAAGGTCACCCATTAGAGGAGCCCCCGGTGGCACAATGGTTAAACCCCAGTGCCGGCAGGACAGATGACCAAAAGGTCAGCAGTTTGAATCCAGGGAGTTGGTGAGCTCCCATCTGTCAGCTCCAGCTCCCCATGCAGGGACATGAGAGAAGCCTCCCACAGGATGGTAAATCATCTGGGCATCCCCTGGGCAATGTCCTTGCAGATGGCCAATTCTCTCATACCAGAAGTGACTTGGAGTTTCTCAAGTCATTCCTGACATGAAAAAAAACAAACATTAGATTTCCATAGCTGGGCAGGGAATCAAATGCTGGTTTCCAGAATTGTAATTCAACACACAAACCATTACACCATGTTGGCTTTCTCATATTAACACTCCTAACTTGACAGGATTTTGTTAGTTGTACAGATAGATATCAGATCTTCAGATAAGTGTGTCCTGTAACTACATAAGAACATGTTGCTCATTTCTTTTTCTTCAGATTTCATAATGTATATACATATGTTAAAATCATTATTTTCAAATTGCCATTTATGCATATCTTTAAGAGATAAAGTAGTGACAATGACCATCAGTTATCTAGCAGTTTTGTATCAAAAAAATGTTTCTGCAAGATCAGATAGCTTTTTGGAAGCCAGATATCTTTTTATGGAAAACCCCATCTTTCAACTGCTAGCATCCCATCAGAAAAAGAATGATTTATTGCCACGATTCTCAGTTAATGTATGATGCAAGAGTGTGTCCATGTCTGCAACCTTGCCCCATCATTCCTCTGCTTTGGCTTGACCTTTTATCCAAGTGTTGTTATTCATCCTTTGAAAAGCTCTCCAACTCTTGTATAACTCCTGCTTCTTTTGATGCCTCTCACTTTCCTGCCTGGCAGCTTCTCCTGTGCTTGCAAACACCAAAGAGATCCTTGTGAAATAAATTTCTATGGAGAGCATCAAAAATAGAGCTTGGTTGAATTATCTGAACTAACATTATTAATCAAAAAGCAATATTAAACCACATTAAAATTTTCAAATTATTGGAAGGATTTAAAAACACATAAACACCAGTAAAGTTTGAACCTCTGCTGCTGTTTGTCTACATTACATATAGAAGAAATATGTACTTGTTTATTTTAATTGATCTGAATCATCATTGTTACAATTTCACTGAACCATCAAATAGATGACAAAACCTGTGCTTCCAGTGTGACAAAGAAGCCTATGTCACAAACAACCTGGTGATTGTGTTGTGAAAGTCCTTCTGAAAGGAGTGTTGATGTGGTGACGCTACCACTGACTTCTAAGTGGATAAAGTCATACTTTCATAATAGTTTGCATTGCACAATAAGGTATCAACAAAAGGATGACTTAATCCCTATACAGTTCAGGTCCAACTTATATTTGAGACTGCATCTCCTTCTATGAACCAGCGTGGGCTCTGGGTAGGCCCTCCTCTCGGTCCCACCTCCATCTCAAATGCAACTGGTGGGGACAAGAGAGAGGGTCTTCTCGGTGGTGCCCCCCTGGCTTAGGAATGCCCTCCCTAGAGAGATTAGATTAGCCCCCCACTTTCCAAGATTTCCGAACAAATTTGAAAACATGGCTCTTCAAACAGGCCTCTGACCTTGTTTAGGAATCCTTAATGATTATACTCAAGGATTGGTGATTATTTCACTTTGCACTTTATGGGACTGATATTGATTGCAGTTGTTTTATATTTGCAGCTATTGTTGCATTTTATTGAATTTTTAACTAGTGGGGTTTTTATGGTGCTATGCCATTTGTTATTGCCGTTGTACCATTGTTTATGTACTTGTATTTAGTGTGCTTGCACTATTGAGTCCTTTTATGAGACACTCTGAGTCCCTTTGGGGAGATGGTGGTGGGGTATAACTAAATTGTTATTATTGTTATTATTATCCTATTAAAAGCTACTCCATTTGAAATAGGGTGATGTCTGTCCTGTAGATTTTTTGCTGGTAGGTCATATTGATACAATTCTGATTTGCAGAATTAGTTATTACACCATTATTACATGGTGCACATTATTATTTGGAGTACATTGTTAATGCCGAGATTGGAAATCATAAAGGGGTGTGTGTCAATTTTGTTAAAATAATCTCTGAACTTTCAGGAGCTGCAAAATTCAACAGCAAGCGAAGGACAAGTAGTTGTTCTTGAGTGCAGAGTGAGGGGAGCACCTCCCTTGCATGTCATGTGGTTTCGGCAAGGGACAGAAATTCAAGATTCGCCAGATTTCCGAATCCTTCAAAAAAGTAAGTGCTAGGCTTCTTTTTTATTGAAATATCCGCCTGCTATATAAAGACACCAGTAGGAATACGCACTTCAGTCTTGTTTTCTTTTGTGTCATCATCGGATTCATGTTCAGGAAATGTTTCTTTTGAGTGTAATTTTAACTGCCTTTGTCATACTGTCCAATTATCAAGCTATTTTAGTTGTCTAATATTACTTCTCCATGGAACTTTTCAGCTTTTTATATGCTTTCTAATGTATCTTGTTCTTTTCCCTTCTATTCCCTATTCTCCATTCGGATGATGGGATAAGCAGAGCCCCGGTCTGCAGCTGAACCTGGTAAGCATCATGTGAAAGAACATTCCTTTTGTTCCCTTGCTTTTTGTGTTTGCACTGAAGCTAAATAGCATAATGTTTCTGCAAGGGAGTGGTAACATGAAACCCCTTTCAAGGCAGTCTATTCTCCTGTCACAGATTTCAGGTCATGCTACCCTGTGGTTTACATCAGTTCCTTTATTAGTGAAACAGCAAATATTTCCATAACTAAAGTGGGAAACCCCAGTGGCTCATCCCTTTTCATTCTCAAATAATGTTTTGGTTTTCCACCTCCATAGCTTTGCTTTTGGTTAGACCATGAAATTTATTGTTATTTGCCATCAAGTCAGCTTCAGTTTATTGTGCCTCTGTTTGTTTGTTTGTTTTTTATTGTGTCAGAAACAACTTGAGAATATACTGCAAGTCGCTTCTGATGTGAGAGAACTGACCATCTACAAGGACATTGCCCAGGGGATGCCTGCATGTGTTACCATGCTGTGGGAGGCTTCTCTCATGTCCCAGCATGGGAAACTGGAGCTGACACATGGGAGCTCACCTATCTCACAGATTAGAACTGCCAACCGTCTGGTCAGCAGTTCAGCCAGCACAATTGTGTCTCTGTGAATGAGTGAATCAAAATAACCTCCAAGAGCTTTTGGATTGAATCAATCCATTTACAGTAATATAGTCTTTTTCTGTGGAGCCCCCGGTGGTGCAATGGGTTAAACCCTTGTGGCAGCAGGACTGAAGACCGACAGAGCAGAGGTTCAAATCCGGAGAGAGTGCAGATGAGCTCCCTCTGTCTGCTCCATCTCCTCATGTGGGGACATGAGAGAAGCCTCTCACAAGGATGATAAAACATCAAAACACCTGGGTGTCCCCTGGGTAACGTCCTTGCAGATACCCAATTCTCTCATACCAGAAGTGATTTGCAGTTTCTCAAGTCACTCCTTACACACACAAAAAGGCTTCTTCTTTTCCTACTGCCTTCATCTTTGCGAAGCTTCATGATCTTTTCAGATGGGTCTCTTGTCTCATGAAATATCCAAACTACAGTACCGCACTTTAATAATTTTAGATAAAGTTTATGCTTAAGTTGTTCTCCAACTATTGTCTTTTTATTGTTCATAGTACATGCAACAGCTTCTGATTTGACTATAGCTTCCATAGTGATTGATGATAACTAAATATTACCTTCTGTTAAATCAAATTATGAAACCAGATTGTGCAAAACTATATTTTACTTTCTGGATTGGCCCCTGAGTTAAATGAAGAGCCTGGGAAATATTATTTTTAGATTCCAAATTCCACAATCCCAAACTAACATGAAAACTGACAATGTTGTCTTCAGATTCTGAAAGTTTTTGTCTAAAGTAGAGCTATCTTGGGGAAAAGAAATAACCAAAAATTCCTAGTTTAGTATATATAGTAGTATGAAACATATAGAATTTGCCAGCTCTCAAATAAAAGGGGAGACAGAACTTCTGTGTATGTGTTTGGTTTGTAATATTTCTGCAGTTACGGTGTGTGACTGAAGCTCCTGGATGTGTCATAGGGATCCTTCCTGTTTACCCAGGATTTTTTATATATATAAATGCTTCCCATTCATTGGGCAAACAGACTCTTTGGTCCTGTTAATGTGGTTGCTGCTGCATCAGCACCAGCCAGTAAACACCTTCTCCTTGGCTGGTAGCAGCTCAGCAATAAAAGAACAATGATATCAGAAAAGTTACTTTTTGGATTACAGCTCTCATACTTTCCCAGATAGCATGGCTAGGTGTTCAGAACTTTGTTATTGGAGAATATAGTAAAAAGTAACTTTTTCAAAAGAACTCTATATGTTGGCAGGCGCAGCCTAAATACCCTGAAAGCACCAGATCCTGTCCGATCTTGGAAACTAAGCAGAGTCAGACCCGGTTGGTACTTGGATGAGAATCTGCTAACAAATACCAGATGCTGTAGGCTATACTTCAGAGGAAGTAATTGGCAAAGTCACATCTGAGTATTCCTTGCCTAAGAAAACTTAATAGGGGTTATCAACCTGTGGGTCCCTAGATGTTTTGGCCTTCAACTCCCAGAAATCCTAATAGCTGGTAAACTGGCTGGGATTTCTGGGAGTTGAGAACCACTGTCCGATGATATTCATATGGTTGCCATAAATTGGCAGACTATGAGAATATACATGCACCCATAGAGGTTGGCATTACACAGAAGTGTCCACATATTTATTCATTCATAACATTTCATACAATTTGCAAGCATTATAGGGGCTAGGAGTCAGGAAGTTCCAAACTTGGAGCTTGTTTTGGGGTAGCCTTCATTCTTTCATCTAAAATATAGGACAATAATACTTATTGTAACAATTGCAACTCAATATAATACAAAGGAACACTAGAGGTATACATAGGAAACAGTTGCTTCCATATTAATGCAGTGAGATGGTAAAGGTAAAGGTTTCCCCTTGACATTAAGTTAAGTTGTGTCTGACTCTTGGGGGTGGTGCTCATCTCCATTTCTAAACTGAAGAGCTGGCATTGTCTGTAGACACCTCCAAGATCATGTGGCCAGCATGGCTGCATGGAACGCTGTTACCTTCTCACTAAGGTGGTACCTATTGATCTACTCACATTTGCATGGTTTTGAACTGCTAGGTTGGCAGAAGCTGGGGCTGACAGTGGGAGCTCACCCCACTCCCCGAATTCAAACTGCCAACCTTTTGGTCAGCAAGTTCAGCATTTTAACCTGCTGCACCATTTCAGTGAGATGGTACTTCTTCTTAAAACATCACTTACTCTTCTCCTTGCTCAGAGTGTATTCCATTATCACTTTGGCTTTATTTATATTAGCATGAAAATGCCTTCTTGGTACTCCTTTAAAAAGAGGCTAGGGTCCCTGACTCAGTTTCCTTTTATTGACTAGCAAAAATCAGAATTTCTGAAATGAGTCTTTAATTGGTGGGTTGTCCTTTTTTAAAATAGATGTACTTTTGTATTGCTTTCAATTCAGTCATGTTTTGATATTGTAACTGCGTTTTAATATTGCAGTTTGTTATGTTTTCATTTGCTCAGGTTTTGTTTTACTTCTGAATCCCAATTGGGAAGAAAGACAGGATATAAATCAAATAATTAAAGGCAATTTGAATTGGTATTAGCAGTTTGTTGAAAAAGACCAAAGAACTTTATAAGCAAATAAGAGAAAGATGATTGTTTTACATCAGAGATATTCAGCAGAAGGAAATCCATATTTGAAAGAGCCCATGTATGGTTTGGAGGAGCAAATGTTGGTAGAGATTTGGCAGAAACATATGACATGATAATAGCAACTCGTAGCAGGTACTTCAGCCATTATAAGTTGAGCTCCAGGGTCAGAGAAGCAGATAGCAAAAACAGAACAATGGCCTGCCTCAGCGGAGCGTGCTTACTCCATCAGTGTTTAACATTAACAGAAATGATCAGCCACTGCCGGAAGTTCATCTTTGCTGACAATCATGCCATCACTGCCCAAGTAGAAAGCTTTGAAATGGTTGAACAGAAGCTCTCCAAAGCTTTAAGTTCTCTTACTGCCCATTACAGGGAAAATCAGCTGATTCCTAATCCAGCTAAAATCAGACATGTGCTTTTCACCTTAAGAATAGACAAGCATCTCTGAGGATTACCTGGGAAGGAATCCCACTGGAGTCTTGCAGCATGCCAAAATACCTGGGAGGTACCCTGGACCATGCACTGACTTACAAGAAACACTGCTTGAATATCAAGCAAAAAGTTGTTACTATAAATAATATCATACAAAAGCTGACTGGCACAACCTGGGGATGACAACCAGATAAAGTGAAGACATTTGCCCTTGTGCTGAATACACATGCCCAGTGTGGAACACACATCACCATGTTAAAACAGTGGATGTGGCGATTAATGAGACATGATGCATTATAACAGGATATCTAAGCACCACACCACTGGAGAAATTATACTGTTTAGTACTACCTGACATCTGCTGGGAAGTCGCAGCCAATAATGAAAGGACCAAGGCAGTGACATCTCTGGCCCATCCCCTGTTCAGATATCAGCCAGCACGCCAATGCCTTAAATCAAGAAATAGTTTTCTAAGATCTACAGAGATATAGGAACACCTCAGCGAGAGTCCAAAAGTGGTAGGCTTAAACCCAGCACCTCAATCCATGGCTGATACCAGATGACAGACTCCCTCCTGAGCACATAGAAGACTGGGCAACTAGGAAGGAGCTGAACAGACTGTGCTCTGGCACCATGAGAAGTAGAGCCAACCTTAAGAAATGGGGCTACAAAGTGGAGTCCACAACATGTGAGTGTGGAGAAAAACAAACTACAAACTACCTATTACAATACAGTCTGAGCCCTGCAACATGCACAATGGAGTACCTTCTTATAGCAGCACCAGAGTCACTCGAAGTGGCCAGTTACTGGTCAAAGGACATCTAATAGAATGCCAAGTTTGCAAACTTTGTGTGTTTTTTATTTTTACTGTACTGTATTTAATTTTTAAATTAAATACAGTACAACTGTTTGGTTTGCTCCTGACACAATAAATAAATAAAATAAAGTCTGAGCCATGCCACATGCACAGTGGAGGACCTTCTTATAACAACACCAGAGGCACTCCAAGTGGCTAACTACTAGTCAAAGGACGTTTAGTATAATGCAAAGTTTTAAAACTTTTTTGTTTCTTTAAATACATTACAACTGTACCCTCAATTTGCTTCTGACACGATAAATAAATAGCCATTGTAATGCTTGCTGCCATTATGTGGAAGTGAAGGTGGAGAGACCGGCTGGTTGAGGGAAACCTGGCTCAGCTCCCAGGCTCACCCTCCACATAAGGACTTCCAAAGAAGTGCAGACATGTCTAAAATGCAATGCTTACAGTGATGTTACAATTAAGCTGACAACTTTGAATGACAACTTCCAAAATCCCTCACCTGTCACTATCAAAGAGGGAAAGAGTAGCGTTATCAAGCTCTGGAATTTTCTGCCTCTATTCCTAAAGTG